TTGTAAATGGCAATATCATATCATTATACTGTGAATAATATGTATACATACTAATGTGGAGACTGTATTTTGAATTGTGTGCTGTCTCGTTTTGACAGTTTCATTCTTAAGTTCAGTTTACCAGAAAGCTCAATAATCTTATAACATTGTCTGTAGGAGCCTTAGGAATAAGATAAACCTGTTACAATCTTAAGAAACTTATTTTTAGTAACCTCAGTTGAGTTACTGGAATTCGCAGCTTACTTTTCTGGACCTATAATCTAGTTATACCAATGTTTTAAACATTAAACTTAAAACTCAGGGGGGAAAAGGTTCCTCAACTTGAGATCTTCTCTCCAGATCTCCATTCTTTGGAGTTTCCATGAGTGTGACCTGAAGAACTTGGAACCATTGAAATTCAAATGTAGGTAGGTAAGTGTTCACACCAGCGCATGCGTTGATTGCCTTATATCTCTTTGTATATGCATCTGTATTGCACCCCCTCAGTGCCTTTCTTCCTCTTCCTCCCCATAGATCATATAGGGCCTGTGTCATTTTGAAATTATGTAATTTCGTAAATCTGTATTTGGTCAGTATTTGTCTGTGATGTGTGTCAGGAGCAGTTAAAACAGAGCCTTCAGACGTTTATGACATTGTGCTGTCTAAAGACTGTCTTTCACATATAAGTGTTTGCTATGTATGGGCCTGGGTTACATTTTTGTGAATTGATGTGTTTGTTGAGCTCTGATAACACTCCCCTGGAGTTACTGATATTCACTGAGGGATGCAGTAGTAGTCTTGCAATTGTTTTACTTACTCTCCGTAATGTATCTGAGAACAAGAACTATTTCTACTTCTAAGAATTTTTTCCTGTTTGTCTTTCACTTAAAAGTCATACTCCTGCTGACATTCATGATATCATGGATGTCAGCTATTATCTTTTGAAAAACATTTGCAAGCTTTCTTTGGGTAACAAAAAAGATGATCAAACTAATCATTTGTTTCTGTCAATAAGAATACCAACTTATCCTACACAAACAGGACCCCTACTTAATCTTTTCAAAAACAACCGCCGCCACCTACTGAATTGTAACATTTAAATAGTAACTGAAATAGGTAGCAGACTCAATCTGGAATAATCTCTTAGTAATAAGTAGAGTTTCTACTCAAATAAGCAAGATGAGATGTTAGATGCTTTATCGGTTTAATTATTCCGAAAATATCAAGAGTGCCAAAATCTGGGATTCCTACTGTGCTTTTATCTTATTTTTTTTTTCTGTTATCACTTCTGCTAAGCACATCATTGAACTTTAGAATATTTACCATGTTTCCCACCCACCTTCCAATCTCTTATAAAAATTAAGTAGTCCTGGCTGGGTGCAGTGGCTCACGCCTGTAATCCCAGCACTTTGGGAGGCCAAGGCAGGCAGATCACCTCAGGTCAGGAGTTCAAGACCTGCCTGGCCAACATGGTGAAAACCGGTCTCTACTAAAAAACAAAAATTAGCTGGGTGTGGTGGCAGGCACCTGTAGTAATCCCAGCTACTTGGGAGGCTGAGGCAAGAAAATTGCTTAACCCAGGGAGGCGGATGTTGCAGTGAGCCCAGATGATTCCAGCCTGAGCAACAGAGCATGACTCTGTCTCAAAAAAAAAAAAAAAAAAAAAAAAAAAAGGGTAGTCCTTTGACAGTGGTTTTTAAATTTTTGGTCTTTTGATTTTAGATGTCTAAAACTTACGGAAGATCTAGAATACTTTTATTTATGTATTTGGGTTATATTTGTATTTACTGAATTAGAAATTTAAGTGGAGAAAAATTTTAAAATCACTTAGTACTTCATTTTAAAGTAACAAACCCATTACATGTTAAGAGAAGTAATATTTTTATGAAAAATATTTTCCCCAAAAAATTGCTGCCAAGAATAGCAGTTTGTTTTATTATTTGTGATGGTGAAGAAAACTATGGCTACTAATACAATTTGGTGCCATTGTTGGAGCATGCTAAAGTGCCAGCAGTTTTACCTACCATTGCTTTTGTACCATCAGTACAAATGTCGACACAGTGGCAAGAATGAATAAGATCTTGGCATTTTTATGAAAATAGCTTTGATTTTGTAATCCTCTGAAAGGGTTCCAGGGTCGCTTTGAAAACCATATTCTAGGATGAAAATTTGTATCAACCTATGAAAGTAATCCTGTAATCTCAGCACTTTAGGAGATTGAGGCGAGTGGATCACCTGAGGTCAAGAGTTCAAGACCAACCTGGCTAACATGGTGAAACCCTGTTTCTACTAAAACTACAAAATAATTAGCCAAGCATGGTGGCACATGCCTGTAGTCCCAGCTACTTGGGAGGCTGAGGCAGGAGAATCGCTTTACCCTGGGAGGTGGAGGTTGCAGTGAGCCACAATTACACCATTGCCCTCCAGCTTGGGCAACAAGAGTGAAATGCAGTCTCAAAAAATAAATAAAATAAAAGTGTCTTTCTTTTTTTGGCCTCTCCTCCTCTGGGGCCTTCATTATATAAGACTTATGGCAGGCCTTTAGTCAATGTGAACAAATTTTAGAGTTATTTGAGATGGCTATTGTTTAGTTAGCATCATAGTAGATGTAAAAGAGAGCACCCAATTGGTCCACAGTGAGTTCATCCAGTTGGATGGCTATATACTTTTCTCTTTTGTGTAGTATGTGTGTTGTATGTGAGTATATAATGAATTTGGCTCCTGGGTAGTTATAAAACACATTTTCACTAGGCAACGTGATTTTCATGAATTATGGCATTACCTATAATGTGCCATTTGGCTATGTTAACTTTTTCTCCCAATCTGCCACAATTTCAAATATTACTGCTTCAATTTGTATGCCAAAGATTGTATTAAGCATTATAACATTTCTTGAATTTTCATCTCTTTTTCCCCTGGAACCAAAATTTGTAACATTGTAAAAGCAGTCCAAAAAAGTGATAGATATGCCAAGTTAGCAGAACATGAAGAGCATTATCTTCTAAGTGGTATTCTGTTATCTTCTTCATAAAATGTGTTATTCCTCTGATGTCCCTGGACTGTTGGATTTTTTGTAGTTTGTACCAACAGAACTGAGGGGGTGTGTGATGCTTACATATATGCAGACATATAGTGGAGTTTGACTCACATTCAATGCATGCGCTAGTGCTCACGCTTACATACCTGAAATTTAATGATTCAACAGCTCTGCAGTATTTGACAAAGTAGTCAAAATGAATACATATATAAATAAAAATACTGCTAAAGAACAAGGATCTGCAGAGGTGACCCACTAATAAAGAGCCCTATCTACTGGTAAGTAACCTAAGTAATTTCTAACTTGGAAAGTTCCTTGGTGCATGATTATTACAAATACTATAACCATAATGCAACTATTCTGCCAATATAATATAGATATAACACTGTAATGTGTATTTTACCTTTAAGTGTTGTGAATCATTAATTGCTAAATAGCATATTCAGAAAAAAAATTTAACATCAAAAGTATGAATACAGATTATTTAGTTGAGTACATTTTAATTCATATCTCCTTTTAGTATAGCTTTATAATTTCATTACTAAATTTGAAATTGTTTTATTAAAGTATTTGAACTCTAAATATAACCTTCCATTTTCCCATCTTTATTTTTTATTCTTATTTTGGTAATAGACCCCTTTCTAGTATAGATGGGCTTCCACAACTAAACCAGATAATTATCTGTAATTACCCAGTCATAGTTTTCAGGGACAATAAGCCTCTGTTGACTACCTCCTCATACTTCACGCTAAAAGCAGGAAGAATTAACAAAGACCACCTGACAGTAATCAACTGGCATGTGAGATAGCTCAATTCTGTATGTTCTTTTCTGAAAATCACCCTCCTACTTTCTTATCTATAGATTAAGAACTATAAAGAGTAATAAAAAATTAGCAGGCCAACCCTGCCAAGGGATTGGAGTTATGAGGAACATGTGTTTTTGTATGTCTTCAGATTGCATAGAGATAAAAGAATTTGGGGGAAATTATTAGCTTGTTTATGGCATATTATTTTAAAGAGAAAAATAATTTTGAAAGAGCATTCTGTATCTTTGGATGAACCAGTTACCAACATTTATAGTGTTTTGCATAAACGTATGAATGTTTATATGCCTTTCTTAGCTTATTCTAAGAGGTAGTGCTTTTGGTTTTCATTTTAGTTTATTTACCTTCAACTTTGCTACAGGTTTTCTATTATCATTGTCATGAAGAACCCTTATGGAAATTCAAGGCATGTTTAGTGCTTCAGAATCAATTCGTTGCCTAGAAAATGAAGGCAAACAATGATGGCAAAGCCATGTTAACCTTATTCCCTTCGCCTCTCTAAGCCAGACTTTCCTGTCTTTTACTGAGATAATCTGTCACTATAATTAAATAAAACTTTAAAAAGAAAAATATTTTAGATAACTCATTTTTTTTTTCTTGTACCTCTCTTTCTAACAGTCATCAAGAACACTCTGGTTGCAAATACTCAGAACCAATCATTTTTGTGTATTTGTTATATATTTCTAATTTTGTATTATGGGAAGTATTTTTAAAGGATTCTAAGATGATTTTTTTCTCCTTTTTTGGTCTTAATTATTAAACTTGCTATTTTTCTTATGCTTTTCATATTCTGTGATTTCCTGCAATGCAAATGTTACTGTAACTTTTTCACTCAAAAACTAATGATAATGTTTGTTTTTACCTATTAAAAGCCTGCTTTTTAATGGTGTAAGACCCTGTTTAAATAACTAATGATTTGATATAGACTTCAAACTATTTGTATTTCTAAATGCCTTTTGGTTAGTGAAAGGATTCAAAACTAAACTCTTCTGAACTGATGTTTAAAATGTTCAATATAATCATATGAATGTACTTCATTTTCCATTACTGTAATTTAAATAACACTGAGTTTCCAATAGGGAAAATAAGAGGTGTTTTCTTCCTGTAATGTTCATTTGATAACGTCAGCACTTGCTTTTCTGTTGTTGTTGTTTTTACAGATTCGCTTCAAGCTCAGCTTATCAATATGGGTGTTATTCCTACCTTAGTGAAATTACTGGGCATCCACTGCCAAAATGCAGCTCTTACAGAAATGTGTCTTGTTGCATTTGGTAATTTAGCAGAACTTGGTAAGTCTTAGTCATGAACCAAAAATGTAATTAACTTATTAATGTGCTTACAATACATTTTTCTTTAGATATTAAGAAGCTATTAACCCATTTCGATTGAATTAGTTTATTTTTTTAAGCCTTTTAGATATCTGCTTCAATATTTTAAAAAGTAAATCCAATTAGCTCTTATGGTTGCTTTGTTTACTATTAGAGCTATTTTGTTTCCCTAATAATTTTATGTATTAATGTTTAAAGCTCACATTGTACATTATGTAATGGAGTTGAATATTTGAAATTGTCTCCACTTGACTTTAGTATTTTCACATGAGGGATGGCAATTGTATATCCAGGGGTAAAAACAAGATTGAAATGTATTACATTTTGGCCAGGCATAGTGGCTCATGCCTGTAGTTCCAGCACTTTGGGAGGCCAAGGTGGATGGGGATTGCTTGAGCTCAGGAATTCGAGACCAGCCTGGGCCCATCTCTACAAAAAATACAAAAAATTAGCCAAGTGTGGTGGCTTGTGCCCGTAGTTTTAGCTACTCAGGAGACTGAGGCAGGAGTATTGCTTGAGCCCAGGAGGCAGATGTTGCAGTGAGCCAAGATCATGCCACTGCACTCCAGCCTGGGCAGCAGAGCCAGACCCTGTCTCAAGAAAAGAAAAAGAAATTTATTACATTTTATATAAATTGCTTGCTTCTCAGTTAAAGAGAAGTCTAACAGACTAAGGTTCTTCATCCTGTTTTCACAAAATCTCAAAACATGAAAGAGGACTTTTTTCTATGAATACGTATGTTACAGCATTAGAAAACAAAATCTGTGGAACCCTTGAAATTCAGAAGGCAAACAAAACCAGACTAATGCTGGAAACACATCCAAGTCATAACACAGAGGAGGAGATGACCCTAGTACCTCCATCTCTTTTCCTTTTTCTTTGTTATGGATTATCCTTTCTTCTCTTTTTTCCGCCCATCTTATTTCTCTCCTTTCTTCCCATAACTCTTGACAGAAAGTTACAACTCTGGGTCTGAATCTACCCCACAACTATGTTAATAATAAATTATTTATTATGGGCATCATGAAATGAAATGATTTTGTCATAACTAAATACAGTAGTTACAACAAACAAATACATCAGTTGTTACATACCACATTTCATAAATAAAAGCACGAAGTCACTGATCTTGGTTTTTCTAACTGAAAGCCCATATCCCTACATACTATATATTAAAATCTTGATTTTAATATTTTACTATTGTTTTGTCTTCAAACTAAGGGATAGGAATTACTTATTTAAGATATTTAGTAAAAATTATTCTTACACAGTGGGTCATAGCCTAGTATTTGTAAATTCTCATCTTCTCTCTTCATCTGCTTTTTCTTATTTTTTATACTAGCCTAATTAACACATTTTTTCTGTCATTCAAATGAGACCAAGAATAAAAGAGCATTCATTTAGTATTTGACAAAATTACTCTTTTCCATGATTAAAATGGAATGTAGGAGTTTGTGTTCGGTATGGTTGGCAGAAATAAAACAAATTGTTTTATAATCCCATACTGATAGTGTAACAGAAACATGATTGGTTCAAATCTTTCTTCACTTGCCTTCAGTCTTATGAAAATTTAAGGATGCAGGTCCTTTGCTGTTAAATTTTAATGTGAGCAGTTTCTAGAACAGCACTGTCCAATACAGTAGCTACCAGCCATGTGGCTTAATGAGCATTGAAATATAAAATCTCAAATGAGATGTGCTCAGTATTAAATGCACAACAGATTTCAAAGACTATGAAAAATATAAAATATCTTCACCAATATTTCATATGTTGATTGCATGTTGATAATTTGAATATATTGAGCGGGATAAAATTATTAAATGTTTACCTTTTCCCAACTTTTTTAGCACATCTACTAAAAAATAAAACATTATATATATGGTTCCATTTTTGGCTCATTATTAATTTCTGTTGGACAGTGATGCTCTAGAAAATGAACTGCAACAGAGAGTCATCCTTCACCCTGTTAGGGCCCCTCCCTTTTGAAATTTTAGAAGAGTACATCGAAGAAAGCAAAAAGATTAATGAAGTTTATCTCATCTAACCTTAAGAAAAAGTCAGCACCAAGTAAGGAAATTGCAATAATTCTTGGATAGGCTGTACTAAATAAGAACTTATATAATTGTAGTTGTTTGCTGAGGACTGTTTCATCCCTTTTATGGTTTTGTGTCTAAGTCTTGTAAATGCTCCAACTTCAGGAACTGTGCAGAACTCCTGCTTGACCTTGTGAGAAGAGAGTTGCTGTTGGTACATTATCCCCCAATAAAGAGTCATTATCCACTTCTCAAATAAGAGTCCAGGAAAAGTATTAGTCATTATTACCTCCTCTTGTGAACAAAACATAACAATAACTATGGTAATGGAAGAGGGTGGATTTGAGTTTAGTCATAGGAGTCTTTTTTTTTTTTTTTGTAGCATGTCCATATAAGGAGTCTTACATTTTATAGTAAAAGAAGATCCTGGATCTTTATTAAACCTTCCTCACCTTTACAAGCATCCCTATGAAGTAAATTGGGCCTAATCCTTACAGTTAACCCAATCCTGTGATTTATTTAGGAATACTAATTTAGGATCACACATACAGTAGAGAGCTGCTTTGAGAGGAAAATTCATTTATCTGAGTCATAAAAACAATGAATATTGAAGTATTTTTAGAGTTGTAAGACAACTTAAATACTCGAACCCTCAAATACTTCAATTTATAAATATTGTTATACATCTTTCCATGTCTAAGACATAATATAAATATAAAATATTAACATGTCTCCAAAAGTGCCTTGCATCAACCCAGGTTGCAAATTGCTCACCTTAGGGGAATAGTTTTCAAACTATTTGACTATGGCCTATAATAAATACATCCTCATATCACCACTTAGTGTATTACACACTTGAAACTAAACAATACTTACTATCCTTAACATATTCATGCACTCTGATCCTGAACTGATTACATGATTTTATTAGTGGATCTCCATCTGCCATTTGAAAAATATAGCCTTATAGGTTTTCTATTATTCATAAATCACTAGGAAAGCAGTTTTTTGTATTAGAGAAAAATTCTGGATGTACAGTCTTTTTTTTTTTTTTTTTTTGAGACGGAGTCTCGCTCTTGTTACCCAGGCTGGAGTGCAATGGTGCGATCTCGGCTCACCGCAACCTCCGCCTCCTGGGCTCAGGCAATTCTCCTGCCTCAGCCTCCTGAGTAGCTGGGATTACAGGCACATGCCACCATGCCCAGCTAATTTTTTGTATTTTTAGTAGAGACGGGGTTTCACTATGTTGACCAGGATGGTCTCGACCTCTTGACCTCGTGATCCACCCGCCTCGGCCTCCCAAAGTGCTGGGATTACAGGCTTGAGCCACCGCGCCTGGCTAGGATGTACAGTCTTTTTAATAGAAGACTTGAATTCTCACACAAAGCATCTTTAATAGTTCAAATAGTATTTCTGATTTTAGTATCTATATTTTTACTGTGTACATAATAGGCATAGCTTGTCTTACAAGTGTAATTAAAACGTTTGATTTATTCAACTTTTAAAGTAATTAGGCACTTAAAAATGTTAATGGATATGACAAATTCTCAGTGATTATGTCTGCTTTGCTGAATATTGATACAGTTTTTTCTTAGGTAATATATACTTGCTAACTGATGTTTTAAAGTTTCCATAATATATACCATGCCAGCCTGTGCTTTCTCACTAAGCAGTGTTTTTATTGAGCCCTATGGACTCCAGAGATACCTGCAAAAGTGTTGCTGGAAGAGTCAAAGGTGGGGAATGCTTTAATATTTAATCCAGCCATTTTATCTTGTGGGAAAAAAAGTGAAAGGTTTTTCAAAAGCTAAATACACAGAAATAAGCAGAAATATTTGCCCTATAATTATGTCAGTCAACTTTGTTAACCAAACCTTTTTAAACATAAATACTTTTTAGGATAGACAAAGTTATCAGCCATCTACTTCTTACACTTCCAGTCTTATGCTTCTTTTAGGTGTCTCAATGGATACTGCTTGATATGAATGACCAGATCAATACAGTAATATCAGTGGCGATAGGGAAATGGGAGCATATTAATCTATTTGCACTACCATAAAGGAATACCCAAGACTGGGTAATTAATTTATAAAGAAAAGAGGTTTAATTGGCTAATGGTTCGTCAGGGTGTACAGGAAGTGTGGTACCTTCATCTGCTTCTAGTGAGGGCCTTAGGAAGCTTACAATTACGGCAAAAGGGTGAAGGGGAGCAGACATGTCACATGGTGAGATGGGGGGGCAAGAGAGAGAAAGTGGAGATCCCAGACTCTTAAGCAACCAGATCTCACATGCACTAACTTACTTATCACCAAGGGGATGGTACTAGCCATTCATGAGGGATCTGCCCCCATGACCTAATTACCTCCTACCTGGCCCCACCTCCAATATTGGCAGTTACATTTCAACATGAGATTTGGAGGAGACAAAACAGCCAAATCACATCAGGGAGTTTTAGTTGGACAAATAAATATGGAAAAATAATTTGGGGACAAACATAGAGCACTGTATACTGATGGAGCCCTGACCTGGTAGGAGAGATTAAGAGGTAAGTAGAGAATTGCGAAAACAACTTTGTCTGCCTTGCTGATTTCGCTGGTGTATAGGGAAGATATGCCATTGAAAAACTGCTCCAAACACTTTGATAGGAGTTGCTGTGTTAAGATACCAGATTTATTTGAGAGGCTGCATAGACCACCTCTGTTCAGCCTAGTCTCCTACCATCTATGTTAAAAGATAAATATGCATCTAATTTAGTTCAGCCCAGTTTCATCCTCTAATGTCAGTGGTTACTGTCCTACCCATTTGGAGGAAGAAAGTATAAAAGAAAAATACATTTACATAAGACTTTTTGGGTTTCTATCATGAGTCTGTTATACCCATATAATAGCTAAGTTATACATCAACACAGGAGTGGAACATGTATGAGCC